ACAAATGCCACATTTCAAATTTCACATCATCAGTATTATAACTGGATTTACGGAACTTAAATACCATAGCGAAGCACGGGTATCAGGCTAGTTATTAATAATCTCTGGCATCAATTTTTGTTATTTCACTGCTGCTGCAGACTGAGTTGATCTGTAGAGTGAGCTGTCCACCACAACCCCAAAGTTTCTTTCCTGATCAATTACCACCAGCTCAAAGACGCTATCACCGTATACTGAAAGTTATTTTGCCCTAGTATACATCACTTTTTAAATTATTATTATTTTTATTTACATTGCACTTATATACCGCCCATGACCCCTAACGGGTCTCAGAGCGGTTTACAGATTACTACTAACATATACAGTAGTTGTTATCCTACCTAGGGCCACATTTGCATGGGGGAGGGGGCTTCCTACCGACACCCTGTTGGCAGCACGGTTCTCTCTCTTTCCGGCGGGCTACGAGCGTTGTTCTTTTTCCGGCGTCTTTCTGGATACCCGGTGACCACCTTTCCGGCAGGCTCTGTTGTTCCCTTCTGCGCGCGACCGTTCTTCTGGCTGCAGCTTCGGCTCACGTCCTTCCGGCTCCAGCCGCGCTGCGCCGTCCTGCGTTTGCGCCGTTCTGCGTTCTGCCTGCGTCTCACGTCTCAGCGTTCGCTCCGCCTCCACCAGGTCTGGTCGCTGGAGAGTCAGCCGCCATTGTTGCTGCCGCCGCCGCCTTTTTTTTTTTTTTGCTTCCATCGCTGCTGCCAACACTCCTGGCACGGAACCAGGAGGTGGGTGACCCCTACCACCTAGGGCAGGTACCCATTTATCTACTTGTTTATTTTATCTTTCGAACCGCTGGGTTGGCGGGAGCTGGGACGGGGGACGGGAGCTCACTCCGGCCGCGGTGGGGATTCGAACAGCCATTGAGGCTGTTCGCTACAGATGTTAAAGCAGACATTGTATTGCCTGCGCCACCGCTCCCACCTTTACACTTATTCTTATGGTACCTCACAGTACCATTGTTTTTGATTCCTGTGACTGGAGCCTTATCATGTAAGTGGGTAACAGAGAGTTCCAGATGGCAGAAACCATGTAAAAAGATAGTCATTGAATAATGACTCTGCAATTCAGAGGGAGAGACGGATATGCTCTCTCTATCCACCTGGGTATGACCAATTGCCATTTGACTACTTCTCTCCCAGAACAGAGTCTAGTGCTCTGGCTTCCTTAAAGGTAAAGGTTCCCTTGCTCGAAAGCCAGTTGAGTCCGACTCTAGGGTTGCGGTGCTCATCTCCGTTTCAAAGCCGAAGAGCCAGCGCTGTCCGAAGACGTTTCCGTGGTCATGTGGCTGGCATGACTAAACACCAAGGCGCACGGAACGCTGTTACCTTCCCACTGAAGTGGTCCCTATTTATCTACTTGCAATTTCTTGCTTTCGAACTGCTAGGTTGGCAGGAGCTGGAACTAGAGACGGGAGCTCACTCCGTCATGCGGCAACCCAGGTCTCGAACTGCTGAACTACTGACCTTCCACAGCCTGCAGTTCAGCGTCTTAACCACTTGAGCCACCGCAGCTCCCTGGCTTCCTTAGCCTGCTGGTAAACTTGTACAGTTGCTGAACTCTCATGCCTGTTAGCCTTTCCCCCCAGATGTTTTGTTGCTATGATATTTCCTTGTCACTGGGGCTCCCTTGCTCAGAGAGCTCATGTGCTGCTCATAGTGGTGATGGATGAGAGGCAACAGGCCTGAACATCCAGTCTGAAGGGGAGCTCTAGAGAACTGAAAAACTTGCAGACCACTTCGTAATTTTGTATTTGACATTCTGGGTTCTTTGGAAATGGTAAGGAAACAAAAAGCATGCAACCCTATGTGCAACTGAGAGAAAAGGGTCCACATAATCTGTTCACAACTATCCTCAGACAGTTCATCAGCTCGGTGCCATGGAGTAACATGTGGTGATCATCAGACTGACCTGGCCTGGTAGGACAGGCCACAATAGCCTGCAGGCAAGATAATGATGCCACGTTGCAAGTATCCTACTATGGCCTTGTGAACACAGCAGATATTACTTACATTATCATTCTTGGTTGTATAGAATTAATTGACAGGGCGGTGGCGATACAGTTGCAGAGCTTTATGGATGACATTTCCATGCTAGATCCCTTCCAGTCCAGCTTCCGCCCAGGGACGGAAACAACACTGGTTGCCCTCACAGATGACCTCCGGAAGCATCTGGATCGGGGCGGGATCACGGTGCTGTTGTTGTTGGACCTGCCAGCAGCGTTCGACACAGATGACCACCAGCTACTGGCCCACCGCTTTGCCAACATGGGGATTCAGGGGCTTGCCTTGCAATGGCTCGTCTTCTTTCTCCAAGGTTGGGGACAAAGGGTGGCTCTGGGGGAGCAGCTGTCCTGAAGGCGCCCGCTAATCTGCGGAGTGCCTCAGGGGGCGGTGCTTTCCCCGATGCTATTTAACATCTATATGCGCCCCCTTGCCCAGAGGCATGGGCTAGGGTGTCACCAATATGCAGATGACACCCAGCTCTATCTGTTGTTGGGCAGTCAGTCCGACTCTACCCCGGAAGACCTGGACCGGGCATTACAGGATGTGGCTGGATGGCTTAGACTGAGTCAATTGAAATTGAATCCGACGAAGACGGAGGTCCTGTGCCTGAGTCGGAGCGGATCGGGGGTAGGGATCCCACTACCGGCCTTTGATGGGGTGCCGTTGGTGCCAGCGCCGAGGGTCAGGAGTTTGGGAGTGCTCCTGGATGCCTCCTTAACAATGGAGGGCCAGGTAGCAGCCACTGCCAAGGCAGCCTTTTACCACCTCCGGCTGATTAAACGGTTCCCTTCCTCGAATGCAATGATCTAGCAACAATGATCCACGCTATGGTCACCTCGAGGCTGGACTACTGTAATGCTCTCTACATGGGGCTGCCCTTGGCGCAACTCTGGAAGCTGCAGCTGGTGCAAAATGTGGTGGCCAGGCTGCTGATGGGTCTCCCTATATGGGAGCACATCCAGCCTGTGCTAAAGTCATTGCACTAGCTGCCAATAGCATACCGGATTCACTTCAAGGTGCTGCTTTTGACCTTTAAAGCTCTTTATAGTCAGGGACCTACCTACCTGAGGGACCACCTTTCCCCATATGTTCCCCAGAGAGCACTACAATCAGGGTCGCAAAATCGCTTGGCCCTCCCTGGCCTGAAGGATGCCAGGCTGGTATCAACTAGGACCAGGGCGTTTTCTGTAGCAGCTCCAACCTATTGGAATGAGCTTCTGAAGGAGATCAGGGCCCTGCGGGACCTCTCACAGTTCTGCAGGACCATGAAAACGGAGCTCTTCCATCAGGCATTCAGGTAAGGAGTTGCACGTTGCCACCTCTGCCCTGTGCCAAATTTACTGCCAGCCTGAGCCAGCCGAGATTGGACTCTCGATTGTATATTTCTAAATGCACTTTACCATACCATAGCTATATCGCCATCAATATGTTAATGTTTTAATAATTTTATCTTGTATTTTATATTGATATTGATATTATTGTTGTTCTATTGTTTCCTTACGTAAGCCGCCCTGAGGCTGCCTCGGTGGGGAGGGTGGGGTAAAAGTCTCAGTACTAAATAAATAAATAGAATTGAAATGGTTTTCTAAGGAAGGTGTATATGATGTGAAATATATTTATGTTTTGATCTTGTATAAGAGTGTCTTTGAGTTTGAAGATTTGAATCCTAGTCTAAACCACATAAGTTGATGCATGTGAGCAGCATAAATGTATATGTATTGGCAAGAATGTGCATTTCAGAGGACTAATGGGGGAAAATATCCAGTAACTGCTTCTGTGATTTCACAAAATCCAAATCATGGCTGCCCTGTGAGTGATCTCTTGCCAGCTGGAAGCTACCAAAGCTTCTCACAGCCCTTGTGAAAGAAAGGCCACTTGTGATGTTTTCACACTTTTTTTTTTAAAAAAAGAGTAAGCATGGGACTACCGCGCTCTCTTCTCCATTCATCATCTGCATGGCCTATTCATTGTATCTTGTCTCCTAGGAAGCAATATTTTATATTGATTATAAAGTCACTTGTATGATAGATTGCATGGCAGAGTGCCAATACCCCTAGGTATTATTAAAGTATCTCTTAAAATTGGCTTTGCCCCTGATTATTACAGAAGGTAGAGAGATGGGGGGGGGGAAATAAGGTACTGTTTAATCATTGTCCTCCTCCCTCACAAATAAATAGCACTCCTTCCCTGGATTACAGAGCCTGTTAACATCCAAGTATTAAAATACCTGATCTGCTGCTGTGCATCTTTCTACAAAGCAAACAAACAAAACAGGTCTTATGATTGGTGATGACTTCAATCCAGCAGAGGAGTTCTATGAATTAAGGGAAGGCAATTTTTGCCCAACTTCCCCCTTATGTTGTTCCTGAGGGCCCCTGCTATCCAGAAGCAGCATTGGGGGGAGGGTTGGGGGGCTGCGACAGGTGTGCGTGTGTGTGACAGAAATCACCACTGGATCCAAGTCCATATTCTCAGGATCACAGGCTATGTTCAAGTTTCTTTTCAACCCACAGTTCTTTTTGTGTTGAAACATATTCCCTTTCATGTCCTGGCACATGAGGGAGTGATGTGCCGACAGCAGGTTTAGCCATTGTGCTAAATAAGCTAAAGGGTATTCCACCCAGAAGAACTGTGCTTCTGCCCGACTTAATCATTTTGCTGTTTCTTGCAGGGGCTTAGCCAGAGTCCTTATTGTGTCACCTTTTCTAAACTTACACCATCTCTCTGAAACTGGGACAACTGTCCCAGGAGAGCTACATAGAATGATGTGTGAACTCCCTTGTGCTACAGAGCAGTAAAACAAATCTTCAACAGCAGTAAAAGGAACACAAGACTTGTTCCAGTTCACATGCATTTATGCCTTTTCTTTCTAGTTCTAATTGTCAGTGTATATGTTTCCTCCCCACCCCCCTTCTTCTTTTCCCTAACAGTATGCCAAGGCGCTGAAGCACTTTGGAGAGAATGATGGTAGGATGCAGCCAGATGAATTTTTTGGCATCTTTGACACCTTCCTGCAGTCATTCACAGAAGCCAAGCAAGATCTGGAGAATATGAGGAAGAAGAAAGAAGAGGAGGAGCGCAGGGCACGCATGGAAGCTATGGTGAGGGTTCAAGGGCTGGGGTAAAACAGGGAGAATTGTCTTCTGCTATCTTCTCGGAAGCCACTTATTCCAGCAGCTCAAGGAAACCAGAGGAACATATCTTTCCTCTCCACTGCGAGCTGTCCTGCTTGTTTGCCTGACCTGAGTTTACATCATGTCTCCATCAACACTGCATGAATTCTTCGGTAACACAGAGTGCTTGGGATAATTCGTTCCTTTCGCTCACTCCTAATAGTGTGATGTCTGCATGTTAATAAGATGCTATGCTCCCCAGGAGTACACTGCAGACAGTATGGAAAATAACACTGGCTGCAGTGGAGAGGTTAGATACCAGTGGAAGGATCCAGTATCCTTGCAATAGGAAGCAAGAGAGCAACGAAGCTGAGAAATCAGTCACTGCCACTGAATCACATGGTGAGAGGTGGATGATGCCATTTTTGACATTACCAAGTTCCAAATATTCAGTCTTCCTGTTTGGCACATAAAAGTAGCTGAAATATTGGTTCCAGAGAATTGCATCTGTGACTAGTTATTACTCTAGGACCTAGTTTGCTTTGAGGGTCTGTGCTGTACATTACTTGTATATAATGAAATTCTTCATGGAAGTGTCTGTGTAATACTGATAGAGAAACTTGGAGATGTCAGCTAGTGAGAGTAATTACAAATAATTAGCATCCCATGCAGTGCAATTTTCTGGACCTAGGATATAATGACTGCTGCTGATTTGAAACCAGCAAAATGTAATTCAACAATCAGAAATTTCAAATTTTATCTCAGCCAAAGTTTACAGAACGGCTTTGGGCAAATCTCTCATTTTTTGTCTCTGTAACAAGGAAATAATAGTGATCTACCTCAAAGGGCTCTAATAAAGATGAATCTGGGCCGCATAAGGTACATAGCATGCTGAACATATGGGACAGATGATATGTAAAAACCATAAAAGAAACAGAAACAGAAACAAGGCAATGAATCACCAGCTCATATAAACCACTTAAATACATAGAATTATAAGTTGAAAAGGACTTCTAGTGTCATCTAGTCCAACCCCCTGAACAATGCAGGAAATTCACAAATACCTCTTCCCCATACACCCCCAGTGACCCTTGCTTCATGCCCTGAAGATAGCCAAAAAAAAAAAAAACCTCCAGGATCCCTGGCCAAACTGGCCTGAGGAAAAATGCTACCTGACCCCAAAGTGGTGATCAGCATTTCCTTGGACATGTAAGAAAGGGCCACGAGAACTAAGCACCTCCATTCTCATGATCTGCCTAAGTTCAGCATTGCTATCTGATGGCCATCTAGCCTCTGTTTGAAAACTTCCAAAGAAGGAGAGCCCATCACCTTCTGAGGAAGCCTATTCCACTGAGGCATGGCTCTAACTGTCAGGAAGTTCTTCCTAATGTTTAGCCGAAAACTCTTCTGATTTAATTTCAACCCACTGGTTTTGGTCCAACCTTCTGGGGCAACAGAAAACAACTTCACACCATCCTCTATATGACAGCCCTTCAAGTACTTGAAGATGGTTATCATATCAACTCTCAGTTGTCTTCTCTCCAGGCTAAACATACCCAGCTCCTTCAACCCTCCTCTGGACACGATCCAGCTTGTCTATATCCTTCTTAAATGGTGGTGCCCAAAACTGAACACAATACTCTAGGTGAGGTCTAACCAGAGCAGAGTAAAGCTATACCATCACTTCACATGATCTGGACACTATACTTCAGTTGATACAGCCCAAAATGGCATTTGCCTTTTTAGCTACAACGTCACACTGCTGACTCATGTTCAGTGTACTAAGACCCCCAGATCCTTTTCACACATACTACTGCAGTGCCAGGACAAGTCTCCCCCATCCTATAATTATGCATTTGATTTTTCCTATCTAAATGCAGAACTTTACATTTATCCCCACTGAAATTAATTTTATTTGTTTTAGCCCAGTTTTTCAGCCTATCAAGGTCATCCTGTATCCTGACTGTCTTCTACTGTATTTGCTTCCCCTCCCAATTTAGTATCATCTGCAAATTTAATAAGCATTCCCTCTGTTCCTTCATCCAAATAGTTTATAAAGATGTTGAACAAAACAGGGTCCAGGACAGATCCTTGAGGCACTCCACTAGTCACTCGTCTCCAAGAGGATAAGGAACTATTAGCAAGCACTCTTTGGATGCGATCTGTCAACCAGTTACAGATCCACAGATCCAAACCACATTTTACCAACTTGTCAACAAGAATATTATGTGGAACTTTGTCAAAAGCCTTACTGAATTCAAGATGAACTATGTGTACAGCATTCCCCCGATCCAGCAAGGTAGTAACTTTCTCAAAGAAAGAGATAAGGTTAATCTGACATGACTTGTTCTTGAGAAACCCATGCTGTCTCTTAGTGATCACAGACATCCTTTCTAAATGCACAAGAACTGTCTGTTTGATTATTGGTTCTAAAATTTTCCCAGGTATAGATGTCAATCTGATGGGTTGGTAGTTATCTGGATCCTCCCTTTTCCCCTTCTTGAAGATGGGGACAACATTTGCCCGCCTTCTGGCACCTCACCTGTTCTCCAAGAATTCTCAAAAATAATGGACAGAGGCTCAGAACTTACACCTGCGAGTTCTTGTAGTACCCTTGGATGCAGTTCATCTGGCCCCAAGGACTTTGTTTCATTTAAAGAAACTAGGTGTTTATGTACTACCCCTATGCCAACCCTAGGCTGCAACTCCCTTCCCTCATCATGTTTCTGTTTTTGTCATGTTGAGTACCATTTTCCTCACAAGAGAAGACTGAGGAAAAGTAGGAAAAGTAGTCTGCCCTCTCTTCACTATAGAATCACAGAATTGAAAGGGGCCATACAGGCCATCTAGTCCAACCTACTGCTCAGTGCAGGATCAGCCTAGAGTATCCCTGACAAGTGTTTGTCCAGATGCTGCTTTAAAGACTGTCAGTGAGGGGGAGCTCATCACCTCCCTAGGCAGCTGATTCCACTGTTGCGCAACTCTTACTGTAAAAAAGTTTTTCCTAATATCCAGCCAGTACTTTCCCTCCCTTAATTTAAACCCATGATTGCGAGTCCTATCCTCTGCTGCCAACAGGAACAGTTCCCTGTCCTCCTCCAAGTGACAGCCCTTCAGATACTTAAAGAGAGCAATCATGTCCCCCCTCAACTTCCTCTTCTCCAGACTAAGCATTCCCAAGTCCCTCAGCCTTTCCTTGGTCTCCAGGCCCCCGATCATCCTCGTTGCTCTTCTCTGCACGCACTCCATTCTGTCCACATCCTTTTTGAAGTGAGGCCTTCAGAACTGCACACAATACTCCAGCTGCGGCCTGACCAATGTAGTGTACAGTGGAACTATGACATCTTGTAATTTGGATGTTATGCCTCTGTTGATACACCCCAAGACTGCATTAGCCATTTTTGTTGCCGCATCACACTGGCTGCTCATATTTAACTTTCAGTCCACCCTTACCCTTTCCTGCCCCCGCAATGGTCCTACCATGGCCTTGCTCTTTTTCTTACTTGGAACATAAGAAAATAACCCTTAGTTGTTGTTTTTAGTGTCTTTCGCTAGCCTAAGCTTGTACTGAGCTTTAGCTTTCCTAACTCTCTCTCTCTACAAGCCCTGGTTATTTGTTTATATTCATCCTTGGTTATAAGGCCCTCATTCCATTTCCTAAAGGAGTCTTTTTTATTCCTCAGGCCTTTAGAAAGCTGCTTATGGCGCCACCTTGGCTTCTTTAGGCTTCTCCCATTTTCCCTCCTTACAGGAATCGTTTGTGCCTTCAATATTTCGCTTTTAAGAAACTCCCACCCCTCTTGAACTCCCTTCTCCTTAAGTGTTTCTGCCCATGGGATTCTACCCAGAGTAACTTTACGTTTGTCAACATTTGCTTTCCTGAAATCCAAACTATATGTGACGAACCATTTTACCATAGTTCAGCCACGGGGAACTATGAGCATAATTGGGATTGGATATCAGTCCTTGGCCTGCAGCAAGCACGTGCCCACAGTCTTCTAAACAGAATCCCTCCTGCTTCGTAGTATTATACAGTAGTTTATGCAGGGAGGAGTGGGGGGAGGGGCTGCTCTTGGGCTTGAATGTCGTATGGAGAAGGAAGGTCCTGTGTTTGACCAGGTCTGACCTTGGACGATGTATCCCTTGCCTATCTTTCCTTCTGTACAGAATACATCATTATTCTGTTTCTTTTTCCTTAAGTTGATGATGTCCCAAATTGCCCAGGTGCCTGCCTCTGCCCTCCCCCTTTCCAAATCTTAATTGCTTGTATATGGTAAGTTTTTCCCCGAACTGTTTCTCCTAATCCTATTTATCCCATGCTTGGGCATCCCATTTGCCTACCCTTTTCCCAATAGCACGAAGGGTCTCATTTCTATTGTTGAAGTTAGAAGTGCTTGGAACTGGAAGTCTTTTTTAAACTGCTTTCTTTAATAGCAAAGCTACTGTAAGTTGTTTTTTGGCTCTAGCAAACCAGTTCTCTAAGCTCTAGTGAGCTGCTTGATTTGCTTTGTGGATTCTGCTGCTGAGGCTCTGATGCATGGATCCCTGGGGGGGGGGTGTTCATGTGAACTAACTGACCTCCTTCTCTAACCTCCTGATTTCCCAAAGCCTGAGAATGGCTCCTCAGCATTCTTTTGTCTCCTTTCATGTTATCAGCACTTTAACCCTAACAGCTATGATAACTCCAGCCTTGCTAAGAACGAGGGCTGCATTTCTACTTCTTGATATTTCCAAAATTTCTCTGTCTCCCTCAGAAGGATTGGGCGGGGAAGTCTGTTTCCAAGAAATTCCGCAGGTCTTTGACAATGAATGCTCTTACAGTTGTGCGTAGTATGAAAGGTCAAGACTTGGCTTCAGTTAATGAGCGTACAATAGTAATGAACAGTTTTACAGTCATTGCAAGGAAGAAATGCTGGCACGGCCCACGTATGGCAGGGGAGGGAGAACAGAATTTCATTCCCAAGAGTGAAGGGTCATTGACTGGGAATAGGGGACAGTTAGATGGTTGTGGGACAGGACTGTGCACAGCCAGCAAAGGGAGGGTGATGGGTCATGACTTAGGATGCAGTTCTGACTCCAGTGAAATCAGTGGGATCTTATCCACTGAATTCAGTAAGTCAGGGGTCACATCTTACACTCACTTCCTGTGTGTGGGAGGAATGTTTCCACTTTCCTCCTCCTCTTTTAAATTTTCAGTCTCATGGGGATGCAGTAGGTTTAAGAGCAAATGTCTTGCTTCTTTGTTGTTTCCTTCACAGAATGACGTGCATTTTTGCAAATTTAGCTATACCTTACCACTCATTTATCCAAGAGTGGTCCCAGTGGCTTTAATACAAAATTTATTCCAAAGAAATAGGCTGTGGCTTACAGACTGAATTACCTTTTCGAAAGGCCTTTTCACTTTAGAGTTGGCATTTTTAAAGGGCCAGGGTAGATACAACACAAGAGATTTGTGATCAGATCACTTGGATTTTTTTTGTTTACTTTGGGGCTGCTAATTTGTCAGTGGAAGCAGGGTTGGGAAAGTTGGGAAAGCAGAGCTGGGAAAGGGGCGTCTAGCATTGCTTCCCCCTTGCTGTTTCTCCAGTCAGCTTTGCCTCCCTCCCCTTAAAGTTGCTTAGTATGGGGGGGGGGAGATACAAGTACGGTGACTTTCACTATATTTCTGCCCTCCCTGAGCTAGTAGCAGCTTGAGAAGAAATTGCGACAGCAGGAAGGGTTGAACACCCTTGTCACCAGTGGCACGCCTTCAGCCAAAGAAACACCCTATATGGCTGATTTGAATGTTTTAAAAAGCTTAAAAAAACCATCCGCAGCACTGAAGATCTGATCATGATTTCCCGCATTATATATTGTTTGTTTCTCAGAGTATCTCCTGCTCTGAAATTAAAATTAAGATCTGTTGTACCACTGTTTGATCCCTTTGCAATTAACATTTTGCCCATTAATATCTCACATTAATATCTTTAATGTGGTACCTTATTCCTTATTCTCTCCCTTCTCTCAAAATCAAATGTGGATATATCTAATAACTTTGACTTTTTTACTTGATCCTTTTGTATATGTACCTCTTTTTAAAGTCAGCAGTTCTATAGCTTTGCCACAAGAGCATGATGTATAGAAGCTTGCATTTTTAAATGGGAGTGGAATTTCCAAGTCCTGAAGTGGTCTACTTTGAACACGATGTGTTCGAAATGAAGAAAAAGAACGTAAGAAGAGCCCTGCTGGATCACACCAATAGTACATCTAGTCCAGTATCCTGTCTCACACAGTGGCCAGGTAGTTCCTCTGGAGGGCTAACAAGAGGGCATAGAGGCCAAGGCCTTCCCCTGATTTTGCCTTCTGGTTTTGGGATTCAGAGGCTTAGTGCATCTGAAGGAGGAGGTTCCCCTCAGTCACCACAGTTAGTAGCCATTGATAGACGTATCCTCCATTAATCTATCTAATCCTCTTTTAAAGCTGTTTATTCCTGTGGCCATCACTACGTACTCTGAGAGTGAATTCCACATTTTAATCACTCTCTGTGTAAAGTATTATTTCCTTTTGTCCATCCCGAACCTCCTGCCCATCAGCTTCATTGGATGTCCTTGAGTTCTAGTATTTTGGGAGAGGGAGAGAAAGTTATCTTTGTCAATTCTTTCCAACCCATGCATTAGTTTATCAAGCTCTATCATGTCCTCCCGTAGTTGTCTCTTTTCTAAACTGAAAAGCCCCAGACTCTTCAGCCTTTCCTCCTAGGGAAGGTGCTCCAGGCCCCGAGTCATCTTGGTTACCCTTCTCTGTAGTTTTTCCAGCTCTGCAATGTCCTTTTGGAGATAGGGTGACCAGAACTATACACAGTATTCCAAGTGAGGCTGCACCACAGATCTATACAGGGGCATTACAATAGCGCCCATTTTAATCTCAATCCGTTTCCTAATAATCCCTAACCTAGAGTTTGCCCTTTTCACTGTGGCAGACTGGGTTGACACTTTCACTGGGCTACCCACTATGATCCCAAGATCTTTTCCCCTCTTGTTCTCAGCTAGTTCAGATCCCATTAGCCTTTACTTGAAGTTCAGATCCCCCCCCCAACCTTGCACTTACCAACAATGAACATCATTGGCCACACTATCACCCACTCACCCAGGTTGTGGAGGTCCTCTTGGAGCTCTTCACAGTCAGCCTTGGCTTTCACCATCCTGAATAATTTGGTGTCATCTGCATACTTGGCCACTAAACTACTCACCCGTCGTTCAAGATAATTTATTAATAAGACATGGCCACCACCTTAATGCCCTTAACCATACACCTTAACCATATGTGGATTTCTGAGCCAACTGGCTGGCCTTCAGTGGGACTTCTCTTAAATTCTCTTAGAGCCAGAACTTCATATTACTTGCTGATTAGGAATAATTCTAAACTAAGAAGCAATGAATATAGTAGCGCGTTTAAAGCTATCCTAAGGGATGAACAGTGGTATGTTTTCTGCTGAGCTGCTGTGTAATCTCAGTCCATCTATCTTTTCCCAACAGCTAAAGGAGCAACGAGAGAAGGAGAGGCGACAAAAGAAAGCAAAGGGCAGCAGCATCTCTGAGGAGGGAGGAGGAGAGTTTGATGATCTCGTGTCCGCGCTGAGGTCAGGCGAGGTTTTTGACAAGGACTTATCAAAGCTCAAGCGTAACCGCAAACGTTCAGGAAACCAAAGTTTGGAGACAAGCCGGGAACGGACTGTGTCAAAGCTCAATTATTAAAGGAGAGCACAAGAGAGGGATGGAAAAGCCAAGAGAACCATGAAAGAAAGAAGATCACAGCAAAGAGCCAAACAAGATGATGGAGACTGGCTAGTGTATTCCCTCAGGAGATCTGGCTAGCCCATGGCTTTGTTTGATTTTCCACGATGAGCATGCCCTCCTGTCTTGCTCTCTTCCTTAGTCATCTAATTGGGAATGGTTCTAAAAGTGCCTCTGTAGCATCCAAGGGATTTGTCACAGAGATGTTGTTTTTGATGGATACATTTCACTTCTTGAAACTTTCCCTGCAGATTCAGTTAAGCCCTACACTGTTGGGTCTCGGGAGCCAAATACGAAGAGGGGGGAAGAAGAACATGATTTACTCTGTGCCAAAGTATATACATACAAAACCCACTCTCAGTCTTGCTGAGAAAATGCAAGTCAGTCTCAGGCTGGTTCTGAAACTCCATGCTCCTTATTCATGGTTTGGCTTGGCTTTCAGGAGTTAGTGATGGAGTGGCTCTACAGTACTGCAGTTCCATTCTTCCACTGGATTTACAGAAGGCCAGTGATCAGAACCTGATAAATGCTTTTGATCTCATGGATCGTGATGTTGTGGCTTATGATATGAAAAGCAAGTGATATTGTGTCAGAGGAAGTTGATAGAACTGCCTAGCTTGCAGTTACGTGAACTGTTTGCAAAACTCCTTATTTTTTTCTGGAACCATTTGAGTCTTCAGGGATATACTGAGTCTTCAGGGATGTGCCAAGTTATGATAAAATGAGAAAGAATGAACCACATATTTTAAAACAGAAGTTTTGCCATGGTGTTTAAGGAAGAGATACCACATTTGGTCCAAGCCAGATCTGTTGTCATTGCTGAGCAATGTGGTCCATGAATAATCCCACATGCAAATCTGCATCACTTTTGTTAGCACAACAAAACTGTTCATTGAACAGGAATTAAATAGACAAATGGAGCTGTCTGATGGTTGAAAGTGGTAATCATTTATGGGCAGCCGTAACTTCACTGGTATGAACTGGAGCTTTCATTTAATGGGCTGGCCACCTCAAAAGCTCACCATTCCTGGCAAGTGCTGCATAAGGTTAATAATGATAGATGAAGTTATCAGTTGGTAGCCCTGGAACTGAAGGACTTCTTCATTTGGTATGGAGAGATAGGGCTAAGAAGAGTAAAACAGGTGATGGGCCTAAATGTGATTCTTGAAAAGAACTCTGGAGATCACAGATAAGAAATCCAATAATAATTGATTATACACACACAAAAATCTAATGTGCACAGGAAAAACAGAGAAAGGGCCTTTAATTTGGATTTTGTTACTGTTTCAGTGTACCCTTGTGGCTAGTGCAGCAGTAGAAGTGGACCATGCAAGGTTTCTTGGCTCTGGTTTCCTTTTCTATGTGAACATTAGATTATCTTCCCTCCAGTGGCAAGAGGAAAATGAGGGGGATAGGACTGGATGTGAGACACTCCAACCATTTTCTGGCAAAAGACTGCACTTAAGAAAGAAGGAAATCCAAGGGATCCTGGAGAATCCAACAAAGGCTCAAATTGTCACTTTAAACTCCTGCTTTAGTTTGTCTCCAAATGTTATTTAATTTCAGACTTAACCTTGAGTCTGTAGAGTAGAAAATTCCTGTTATCTCAAGCACTGTCCAAACAGTATTCTATGCAAACAATATTTAAAGACTGCAAGGGTGTGTGTGTGTGTTTTGGTCACACAACTAAACCAAATACTCAGCTCTGGGGATAAGCAAAAACAAAAGAATCTGTCTAAACTGTAATTTCTTTTTTATACTGTGTTTGAAGTGTCCCACCTCTAAATCCTCCAATTCGTGACATTCCACAACATGACACTTCTGCTTTACACTAATGGTGACGAGCTGGATCATACAAGGGCTGGGCACATTGCTCTCCGCTTCATGACTTCTATTTTTAAGAGACCTCATTTGAAACACCTAATTTAAAACCTCTGTTTGCAAACAGACAGGTACCTTTTTAAAGGATTTGTTTTTAGATGTGTTTAAAACAAAACTTTTCCAGATTTTGAAGGGCTGTACTTTTGGGAATATTTTTTCTGTGGATGGTTTTAAAGAAAAAAAATGTAAGTGCTATTTTAAACTCTTTGCAGCTGTCAGCAGTAGAGATGTAGTATTTTGCTTCTACTCTTCATGTCATAGATCCGGGTGAGCAGCCATGTTGGTCTGAAGCAACAGAACAAAGTTAAAGTCCTGTGGCCCCTTTAAGACGAACAAAGTTTTATTCAAGGGGGTGAGCTTTCGTGTGCACACACAATTCGTCAGACAATGAAATGGAATTACAGATCGTACTTGTATATATACAGGGTGGCTTGTTAAATTAGCCTGCAAAGTAGTGAAGATGTTTTTTAACAGATAAAAAGCTTGTCATTCTGTAATTCCATTTCATTGTCTGACAAAGTGTGCGTGCACACAAAAGCTCGCCCCTTGAATAAAACTTTGTTGGTCTTAAAGGTGCCCCTGGACTCTAATTTCATCATGTCATAGCCATTGCACTGAAGCAATATGTGCCATAGTGAGAAGCAAGGTCACAATTTGTCAGAACATAAACTTTGGGTTTTCTTCTGTGATGCTTCTTTCTTTTTTCCTGTGTTTTGTTCCCAGTAACTTAGGGCCTGTAACAGACATCATGAGGGAAAGCTCTTGACTCAGTCTCCTGTAAGTAGAGGGAGAAAGTAAAATCTGATGAAGCCTGTATCACATTAATTTGATTGTGTTGTTTCCCCTAATGCAACAACTGCTTATGGATCAAGCTACTACTCAGATCACACAATACTTCTTCACTGTGGCAAGGCAGGGCAGAATGGACTGTATGATAGCTGGAGGGTTTTGCCAAGTTAACACCACAGTCCTGTGCACAGTTACACCGTCTTAAGCTCACAGTGAGTTTAGGCTGATGCAGCTCTGCAGAGGATACACAGATTTTCACCATTAAACAAGTAATATTTGAGAGGCTGTTGTTTCTATTATCATTTGCACAGAGTCCTCATCTGTCCCCCCCCCCCCACATATCCTGCATCGAGTTGGGCTGGGCTTCAGTCTAGTTCTGTTGGTGGAGCTAGTATTTCTCTCTTTTTATATGGCAGTTCTAATGATGTCATTCTGGTAGCTTCTAATGCAGGGGACTCCTGCAGGTAGCTTCTGCATCACCTAGAAAATCCAGGAAAAGATTGTAAACGGATCTCCTCTAGGCAATATTTAAAAGGCTTTTGTTTCATAGGATTTTTCTATTTGTCGCTTAGCTGATGAGCTTCATTTCTGGTACTCTTTGTACTCCGGGTTCTGTAACTAGAAAGAACAAAAATTGGTAATGTGGTGGTGGGGAATAGCTTGGGATATCTTCTTTTTCAAATTTCAACTTTTATTAAGATTTTTTGAACAACATACATAAAAAAGAAGGAAACCCAAAAAGCACAAACAGTATAATAAAAAAGAAAAGGAAATAAGAAAAACCTGGAAAGAAGAAAAAAATAAGGGAATATCTTTAGATTTTTGTCTACACCTGGCACTACCTACTAGGACAGACTTGGGATATTTTCCATTACTGAGAAAGAGCTTTTGTTAAAAACAAGGTTGGCAGCTCCTGTTTTAAGGATAGCAGATCTTCATTTCTCTGTGCCAAGCTAAGTGAACATATTAGAGTCTTTGCAATATGTGTGTAACAGTACAGCTAAAATGGAATTATGCTTAATGTAGGTTTCATTCATTTTTTTTGTCAAAAGATTTGCTGGACTGGCATCATTTCTTTATTGATGAGATATGCCAGTCTATGTGAATAGCTCATAAAAGTAAGCTACCGTTTCCAACAGAATGTATATTTTGGAAGGTCAGAAACTGTAGAAGTAGGTACAGTTGAGTTCCATCATACAGAAGAAACGAGTGCTTGTTCGAGACCAAAAACGACACCCAGGTTGTTTGTTCAAGAGTAGGTGCCACTGCTTTCAGCAGAAGTTATGCCCATGTGAAAATTTGAGCCTTAGATGCAACCACGATGACCATCAGTACTACCAAACTGCATTTGCCATTTTGATATGCCCACATCACTGAAGCCACAGCAGCAACATGTGAGAGCACTCACTTGCATAAATGTAGCAGCTTAACTCTGAATACTCTGTCTCTGTGGACGGTGTTGTACATTCTGTAACTGAAGAGTGGGTTGACCTTCTCTCTTAATCTCTGGAAAGTTCCCATTTTAATGGAGTTTTTCCCAGAGCACCTAATGATTGGCTTTCCCTGGTTGCCCAGAAGGTATTTACATACATCTTGTCTCCTTCACCTGCTGTAGACTTATCCTTTCATTGGAATCTTGGTTTAATGCCACATGGGACTTCTTCCAGCCTGAAACTCTCTAATGATCACATGATGACACCATTTCCTAAAGCCTAAGATATGTTTTTGGAGTGGCTAGATTCTGTCTCAATGTACCCTTTCTGAAGCACTGCTTCTTTTCAAAGCACTGGCTTCTGATGCAGCTTCAGTAACTTACTTAGGAAGTTAGTCATGGGATATGAAACCTCCAGAATTTCACAAGAGAGGATAGAGAAAGCATGTGATAATAGATTTTTTAAAAAAGAAAACATGCTGTGATCATGTGCCAACACACCTGGCATGTAAACCACACATCATGTCACTAATAAGGAATGGGGGAAGTATAATGTTTAGACTGGACCTCATTGAGAGGTCCACCAATAGCATTTGCTACAGGAAGAATGTCAGAACCAGCTAAGGATGCAATTGGACAAAGAAAAGGGAGATACAGGTGCCACACAACCCAGAGCTCACCTAATTGAAGTATGTGTTTGCATATATTTTGGCAACACCCTCATAATGAAGAGTTCTATCTGCCAACGGGCTGTAACAAGCACAATCTCTTTTCTGTGAGGGTAGGTGTTGGCTTACAGCCTATTGGCAATTTGCTTGTTTAAAGGAAATAGAAATCATGATTTCCAGTTCATTATGCTCCTTGCCATGTTGTGTCAGGTCTTGACTATTTCACCCTCATGTATAAGTACAGTAACGACCTACGAGTATGTTAAAAGCAAGACATAATACATATTAAATTTATCTTACCTTATCCGGCCTACACCTTTTATTTATTCCTATGAAACCCTGTTGTTATTGTGGCTGTGTAAATTGTTGCTAGTGTTCCCCCCCATCACACATGCAGCTTTTCAAATCATGCAAGTGACACAGAGGGAACTCTTGTATTACAGGAAAACAATTACAGGAATGTATGCTCCTAATTAAGTATTTCTGAAAGTATCGCTGATTAATAGCGAAAGCTGAATGCTAGGAATTCAAGCCAATAGATTTACTGGATTGAGAGATTGGAATTAATAATTTCCTTCTGAAACAGTTCTTGAAACAAAGCTGTT